TGGACTCTTCCGTCCCTTCCCCCCATGGCCTCGCATTTCTCTGTCATTCTCTCATCCCTCTGATCATACAATCTGTTTGTGCTCCTGTCTTCCTGCCTGCACCCTGCGAGCTCTGCGAGGGACAGGCCGGACTCTGTGTCTGGGTGCCGCCCACGGCGTCTAGACGGTGCTCACATGGAACAAGTTTGGCCAAGCCTCGGGGAAAGAATGAGCTAGCGAATGCATGAAGAACTAAAATGTGGGGCCATGTCTGAACGTGAGGATTCTGTAGCCCAAAGAGAAGGGTTCTGGCAATGTTTTAGGGTTTTGGCCGGGAGGAACTGATAAGAGAAACCAAGAAAAGCCACAAACCTGAACTGTGGTGTTGCCTGAAGCAGAACCAGGCCACCACACCAGCCATACCAGCCACAGCGATGATGCCGGCCACCCCGGCCACCACGGCCGTGATCACAGGCGGGAAGGCTTGGCTGGACACTGGAGAAGACAGAACTCAGACAGGCAGCATGCCACCCTCCCGCCGGGGCTGTGCCCAGGCTGTCCCTGCAGCTGCTGTCCCTGGGCCCTCCCGGGTGCAACCGCGCCTGCTCAGGGTGTCTGTGGCTGGACCGTCTCCCCACCCGGGCCTGTCACTAAACTAAGGTGCACTGCGAAGGGAAGGGTTCCTGCTAGGCCTCAGGGGTGGTGGGAGGGCAGCCTGAAGGCCCCGCGGGAGAGGCACCCCACTGCGTCCAGCGCAGCGGCGAGCTGTCAGGCATGGGCCATCCCTAGAGCGTGCTGGGCAGGACACGAGAACTTCAGCTCTCGGGAAGGCCCAGAAGCGCAGGGCCTGCGGGGGGGAGGGGGGCGGTGGGGCTGCTCTGCTGCTGTGCCAGGGGTGGGGCCTCTCCCCCTGGAAGCCCAGGCCCGACCTCTAGCCCATACTCCTGGCCACTGGCCCCTCTCCTCTGCGCCCTGGGGCCCAGGTTTGCTGCTGTGGCACCTCTGCAGCCCCATGGACACCCAGGTGACCTTCGCCCTAGCTCTGACCCCTCGCCTCGCCTCCTGCACCCGGGCAGGGCTCCCACCTGGGACGGTGATGTTCACGGGCTGCGATGTGTGCTGCATCTGCCCGAGGAGCCCTGAGCAGTGGTACGCGCCACTGTGGCTGGCGTTCGCGTGTGGGATGGAGAAGCTGGCGTTCGTGTATGAAAACCACTTGGGTCTCCCGTCCTGGAAGAACTGGATCTTGTGCAGGCGCCAGTTCTTCCAGCTGTGGCAGCGCAGCACGATGGGGGCCCCCTGCGGGACCAGCAGGCGGGGCGTCTGGAGCAGCAGCCAGGCTGGAAGACAGAGCACAGGACATGGCAGCGCTGCCGCAGCTCTGAGAGCCGGAGGATGGCAACAGCCACGTGCCTGCCAGGCACGCCCTCTCAGTCCCGGCTGGTGGGACATGATGTGGGGAAGGACGAGCTGACGTCTGGAATCAGACGTTCTGGCCCCCTCACTCATGAGCACTGTCATCTTGGACAAGTCATTGAACTTCTGGGCCTCAGTCTCCTCATCTGTGAAAATGGACATAAGGGCCCTAGCTGGTTTGGCTCAGCGGATAGAGCATCAGCCTGTGGACTCAAGGGTCCCAGGTTTGATTTTGGTCAGGGGCATGTACCTGGGTTGCGGGCACATCCCCAGTAGGGGGCGTGCAGGAGGCAGCTGAATCGATGTTTCTCTCTCATCGATGTTTCTAACTCGCTATCCCTCTCCCTCTCCCTTCCTCTCTGTAAAAAAATCAATGAAATATATATATATAAAAAGAAAATGGACATAAGGACTCCACATCCCCCACAGTCCCTGGCACATCCTAGGGGCTCTTTCCTGTCCTCTAGGGAGGCACAGGGACCTGGCGCAGCCCCTGGGCAGGGTGGAGGGACCCCCAACGCGGAGACATGTCTCTGAGGATCGTAGAAACTCATGGGCATCCAACAAGTGCTCGCTTCTCTGGTGAGTGTCAGGGAATGTGGGCTTCCTGCAGCGGGACTTTGGGGAGTCATTAGTCTGCCGTGTAACTTCCCCCCAGTTTTCGTCCTTTTACTGAGGAAGACAGGTTATGTGGAATGACGAGAGACAAAGGTTCATGATTTGGTTAATGACATGCACCTCGCTGCCTAGGGGTAGCAATTAACTTTCCTCCAGGACAGAGGGGCTGGGATTGGAGAGGAAGGGTGGGGAGCAGACACTAGAGGCCTGGGAGGGGGAGGGGCAGAGAATGACAACGGCCTCGGTGTGCGAGCCAGGTAAGCCCTCTCAGTCCTGCCACAAGTCAGAGTGAGCCCCCAGCCTGCCTGCTGGGAGCCGCCAGGACACAGGGAGAGTGAGGGCAGAGAGAAAGCTGGGCCTCCGCCCTGCGCTGCGCAGAGGGCACTGGCGGGCGGGGAGGCCCCGGCCCTTGCTGCTCAGCCGCCTCACACACGCTGGAGCCAGCCTCTCCCGGCCGCACCTGCGGCCCCCTTTCCTGGCCCAGCACAGAGCGTTTCCGCCTGCGAGGGAGTGGGCCCGCGGACGCCCCTGCAGGCCAGGCTGCGTGGCCCTGGCCCACGGGCGGCCTCGTTCATCAGGATTCGGTTGGGGCCAGCGGGAGGCTCAGAACCACAGATTGTTAACAGCAGAGAAGCCGGAGACACGTCAGAGCTGCCGCCTGTAGAAAGCAGCCGCTCCTGCCTCCGCGTCCTGGTCCAGGAATCTCCACGGAGACGGATGGAGCCGCATCGCTGCAGCAGCCGGTCCTTCCCTGCGGAGGTGCCGCCACCAGGTTAACACCGGGACGTGTTAAAGGCGCCTGAGGTTCCCGGAGGACACGTCGTGGGAAGGCCCTGCAAGCTCACGGCACTCAGAGTGCTCCTCTTCGAGTAATGAAAGTCCACCCATCAGTCTCCTGGGAGCCGCGTGGAGACGCGATGAGCTCCTGCCTGCTCTGCACCAAGGCTGGGGCGGCTGGGGTGGCTGGGGTGGCTGGAGGGGGCTGGGGTGGCTGGCGCGGCTGGAGGGGGCTGG